TCAGGCTGGAAAGTGACAAGCTAAAACAAAACCATCTAAAACCAGCTTGACCATCCTGGTTTAAGCTGGACATAGCTTGTTTTGGCTGGGCTCCTAGCCTGGCTAGGCTGGTCAAGCTGGTTTTAGCTGGTCATCTCCTAGCCTGACCAGCTAAGACCAGGTTGGAAATGGCCAAAACCCCTCTAAAACCAACCAACCATCCTAGGCTGGTTTAAACTGGATTTTCAGCAGGGTAAATAAATAAATAAATAACCTTAACATTCATTTGAATTGCTATAAACATCCCAGTGAACAGTAAATAAAAAGGTTCATATCCTATATCTTGATTATCTGGTTAAGATATCCCACATACTGTATTAATACAGCATAGTTGTTTTACTGCATTAAACAACAGCACCAGCATACAGCAATTGGGTAATTAGTTTATAGTTGTTGTATTACAATGGGAAATAGTTACCAAAATAGATTCATGCACAACTTATTTACCATAAACTATAGTATTGTCCCATGTCAGACAACAGGATCTCATACTTAGCATTTACAACTTTCTCTGAATGAGATTTCTTTATTTTGACAACATAAAGATCTTAAAATCAGCCGATCTTCAACATGCTTCCCTGTAAACATTTTGGATGTATTAAATGCTGCTTTATTTATATTTTCCAATAGATGGCGCCACAACTCAACAGTGAATCTATGTATGGAATTGGCCTATAAAGGAAATTGCTATATCGACTTACCTTACAGATTTTTGTCATGTCTTAAATGTGAAGGAAAGAAAAAAAACATACATTTCAAAAAAGCACACTGAACTGAATAAATAAACAATACTCACTCATGTAGATGTTTTAAAAGGAGTATTTATAGTCACTGAACCATACAGACTTGCACATTTAAAAAGGTATTTGCATGAGAAAAATACATTCATTTACCTCCGAGAATAAAAGCCATCTCTTGTGTTACAGAATAAAAACATAATTTCACAAATGACCTTAAATCTAAACAGATTGTCATGCAAATCGTCCTCTCTCCTTTCAGCATTAAAACCCTCTGTACAAAATAACTTATTTATTCACTCTAAAAAATGCTGGGATGTCATAACCCAGTGTTGGGTCAAATTAATTAAATATAAATTGCACTTTTTAACACAAAGGTTGGGTTTGTGCAGATTTGACCCAGAATTGGGTTTTAAAAACCTAGCTATTTTGTTGTGTTACAATGTTACATGCATAACTAAATGTCACATAAGAGTACACTAAAAAAATGGGTTGTTTAACCTAATGTTGGGTTAAATAAGCTTGTCAGCATTTGGACAAATATTTGAGTTCACTCAAAAAAAAAAAAAAAAAATTTGCTGCTTGTAAATCTACTTATAAAAACGAGTTGAATCAACAAAATTATTTGTGGACAAATTAATTATTTCATGTTAAATCTACATGAATTTGTAAACAGAATTAAGTTAATCAATTTGTGTTGGGACCACATATAGATACAGTTGAACCCGATATTTTGACAGTCTTGGGTTATGGCAACCCACTTTTTTTTTTTTTTTTTTGAGTGTTACAATACATGAGACACATGCATAACTAAATGTCACACAGCAGTACACTCTAAAAAAGCTGGGCTGTAACCTAAAGTTTGGGTTAAATATGGGTTTGTCCATATTTGGCCCAACATTCACACAAATTTTTTTATTTATTTATTTATTTATTTTTTTTGCAACTTGTGCAAGCTAATTTAAAACGAGCTGTTGTTTTGGGACAACTTAATTGTTTTAAGTTGTAATGTAAATGTAATGTAATATGTTTATTTATATAGCGCATTTATCATGTATGGCCATACAGTGGCGCTGCTGGCCCTATGATTAAAGAGGGGGGGGGAGGGGGTGTATGTATGGGAGAGTTGTCGCGGACGAAAGAGAAGAGTGGGGGGCAGGGGGGGAATGGTGATAGGGGTGTTGTTGCGGTTGAAAGTGAAGACGGGGGATGGGGGTTTATCGGGGGGCCCTAATAGTATCTCTGGGGGCCCCAAAATGATGTGGGCCCTTAGAATCATCCAACCCCAACTTAATTGTTTTCAGTTGTAATGTAAATGTAATGCAATATGTTTATTTATATAGCGCATTTATCATGTATGGCCATACAGTGGCGCTGCTGGTCCTAAGACTAAAGAGAGGGTGTGGGGTGAAGGGGTGGGTATGGGAGGGTTGTCTCGGATGAAAGAGAAGAGTGGGGGGCAGGGAGGGAATGGTGATAGGAGTGTTGTTGCAGTTGAAAGTGAAGACGGGGGGTGGGGGTTATTAGGGGGCCCTAATAGTATCTCTGGGGGCCCCAAAATGATGTGGGCCCTTAGAATCATCACCCCCCCCCCCCCCCCAAAGGGGTGCACCCCTGTGGCCATACACTCGAAGCGCTTCACAATCATGAGAGGGGTCTCTCCACACCGCTACCAGTGTGCAGCTTCACTTGGATGATGCGATCAGCCACAGCACAACGGCTCCGGTGCGTTTACCACACACCCTCTAATGGAGTGGAGAGACAGTGTAGGAGAAACCGCCTACTACTCAGTAGGTACTGCATTCGAATTTAAATGTACTCGGTCGTCAGAAAAGTATGTTCTTTACAGTATGAATGTGAAAAGTATGAATGGAATTCGGACGTACTACACCCGCCATTTTGCTATGGTCATGTTACCTACCTGTGTCTGTTGAGTCGCTTCACTCTCATTCATGAATTCTCTCGTGGAGCATCATGGGATGGCGCAGTGTGCATGGGATGCGCAAGTCAGAATCTCGGCGGAAGTAGAAAATCATCCAGGTACTAATACTGATTTTCGAATTCTAAGAATTTGGATGTACTACTCGGCTCGCATACTAATTTTAGCGTACTGTATAGCAATATTGGACGCAGCCATAGAGCCAATTCGGTGGATGGGATGATTGAGGGGTTATGATGGGTAAGGACCGATGGAGGTAGTTTGGCCAGGACACCCTACTCTTTACAAGATTTTTAAAGACCACAGACAGTCCTCGGTTAAACATCTCATCTGAAAGACGGCGCTTACTGACAGTATAGTGTCCCCTTCACTATATTGGGGCATTAGGACCCACAAAGACCACAGGTTGAGCACCCCCTGCTGGCCGCACTAACACCAAGTCCAACAGCAACCTAGTGTTCCCATGTGGGCTCCCATTCGGGTACTGACCAGCCTCAGCCCTGCTTAGCTTCAGTGAGTGAGTGCTCTTGGGCTGCAGGGTGATATGGGTAAGTTCAACAATGAAGTTAATCAATTTGTGTTGGGACAACATGAAGGAATTGTGTGAAACCCAGCATTGGGTTATGACAACCCAGCATTTCTTTAAAGTGTACGATTTCTCAGATCAATATTTACATTGGAAGAATTCCGGACATCACATTTTCAAAGCTACATACAAAACATACATTTAAAAGAAAGACAACAGGAGCATTTTCACATGTGAAACATCGACCTAGTGTTGTGGAACCACAACCACATAGACAGAATTGACATATTTTAAAGATCATTCACATCTTTTGAACATATAAAAATCACAAAAACTACTCATAATCACAATCCGAATAGAGTTACTATTGAATTCAGCAAAAACACCATTCCCTCATGAAGCTGTCACTTCTTATGTTATTTTAATGACTTTAGAATGATCTTTAATATAATGCAGCCTCTATACTCTCGTTAACTATACACATATATGGCGGATCAGACATGGATGAGCATGTTTTAACATCCAAATGATCATATCCTTTAACCATTTAGGTTTAATTCACACTCTTTGATTAGTATTTAATGCTCAGATTAGTGTGGCTAGCAAAGGACTTTATTCAAGCTTATGTCTTACAGACAAAATAATAATAATAATAATAATAATAATAATAACAACAACAATAATAATAATAATAACAGGTCCACAGGAGTTTGTTTTGTTCAAAATCTTATATACGCACAATATTACAGCCTTCATTTTTTTAAATTATGACTTACATTGATAAAAAATGTTGATGCACCAAATACAGTACTGGTGAAATAAATATCATCTTTTATTGCGGTTAACTCTCTCAAAAAACATTAATAGGGGTTATCCCCCATTTTGTTTTATTAAATTTAAAGGTTTAAGGAACATTACGCTGTTTGCATATTGATAACTATATTTAAGTTGCACACGCACACCAGATCTACAGTATAACACCATTTCAGCCATTCCTCTGATGACATCAAGCACCAATTTAGCAACATTCACAAATATTGTTACTATAGTAAAAGTACATCTCTGTACCCCGAACATGGTCAACAGACGCACTCACTCTTCATTATACGGTCATGCTAAAAGACTAAACAATTTCTTGCTTGTTTTTCAGTTTCTGTTTGTTTGATTTTATTTACTCCAAAAAATGCGGGGTTGTTTTAAATGCGCATTATGTAATTTACGCCTCTAGAGGGCGTGCATTCACAACAAACAAAGGCGTAGTTTAATCATTTTTAGCATTACTTACTATTATGCTGCGTTCATACCAGACGCGGAACGCGCGGATAAATCGCGCTATTCGCACGTAAATAGCCACGTGAACATTTGAGTTTACTCGCTTTATTTGCGTGTCAAACCCCGCCTCATTCGGGCGGCAAATTCACTTCAGAATAGACGTGGATTTGGGTGATGGGCGGGGCTTCTGTCTGCCCGGTGACTCTAGCTTCATAGCTAAATAGCTAACATGGATTTTATTGAGAAAATAACTGTTTTTGTGCTTTATGAAGGCTGAAAAACAGCGTCGATACATTTAGGGCCGTGTCTGAGTCCACTAAATCATTTCAGAGGTGCATCCAGCTCTGTGAGCTCATAAACTCCTCCAGAAACTAAACCTGGATGACGGAGGCTTTCAGCGGTGCTTCTGTCTGAGCCAAGCCCAGTTTGATGAACTTTTTGTCGGTGTCGCCTGGAGGATTTCCCCCGGGACTCCAACAACAGGTGTACGTCACAACCACGCCCCCACAAGAGCAAGCTCCTGATTGGTTACGCGGCACGAATGTCCGCTGAAGTTCAGACTTTCGAACTCAAGCAATTCGTGCTAAACGTGCATCAAACGCGCAAAATGCTTAAATTGCGCCACGCCATTTGCGCGTATCGCGCCATTCGCGTAATTCGTGTCATTCGCGCCACGCCATTTGCGCGTATCGCGCCGCAGGATGTCTATTCACACGTTTGCATTGACTTAACATGTAAATCACTCGCATTTGACGCGCGTTCCGCGTCTGGTGTGAACGCAGCATCAGTAAGACTAACTGGGTCACTTGAATCACATCTTAGCCAATCACATAGCACCTTTAAGTCTCCTTCTTTGTATACTCAGCGTTAGCATAAGGGCTGGTCTATACTTCTGCGTCGAATGATCAGCGTGACCCACCATGCATGCCTTACGCGTAGCCATGCATTTACCCTTCTGCGTGCTGTTTGTGTTGCTCTGCAATAACACTTCAGAAATGCTAGCTGGCAGTAGGTCATGTTCCTCTGTGTCGAGTTTATTCGCTGGTGTTTTGCTGTTTTCTGAATGCTCCCGTAATGTACTAGTAGCTAAAACTCGCTCATTTAAAGGCGGGAACTGGCAAACGTGCAACAACTTTAGTTATAAGGTAAACATAAAACAACAGTTTCCATCTGGAGCTCCTTCACGGGACTCGGCACTTGTAAACATTCGCTCTAGCGGGCTCACGGCTCTCAGCGAACGCCCACAATCGTCATTGCAGCCTAATCACAGAGCTTGCGCCATGCTTTGTTGCGATATGTAGTTACATTTTTTAAATGGTGCGTGTCAGCGTCTGCGTTAGCCATGATGAGGGCTGTGTGGTAGGGATGTGCACATCGATGCTGGAGTATCGATATATCGAAAGCCAGAAGTTTTTTAATTTAGTATCAACATTTTTTTTTAAATATCTATATTTTAACTATTTTAATAATTTCCGCATAACTAAATGTTTTAGCGCTGTGTACAGGATTGTCAGTGACTCTTTGCATACAAGACGTTACACCAATCAATCTGTTGCGTGACGTGACGTGAGCGATCATGGTGCAGTTCCCCTATAGCGCATGTGTTTGGACCGTGGGGGAAAGCGGAGCACCCGGAGGAAACCCACGCCAACACGGGGAGAACATGCAAACTCCACACAGAAATGCCAACTGACCCACCCGGGACTCAAACCAGCGACCTTCTTGCTGTGAGGCGACCGTGTAATTTTTGCACTAATTTAAATTATTTAATTTTTTCCACCCAATTGTTAACTTTAAAACAACCCAGCGTTTATTCGAGAGTGTGTGAAAGAGATGCCACAAGACGTCCAGCACATTGATAAATCCCGCCATTCATCTTGAAGATTTTGAGATATGTTTGAGTTCAGGCTGGAGAATGGAAGAAATGACTGTTCTGGATGCAGTTGCAGCTTCAGTCCAGCAGGTAGCAGCATGTCCACGTCTCGGCGTATTCTCCAGCTGTGATAGTGAGTGAACACAGCCAGAGTTTATAAGAGGATACTGTGGAGCTCAATGATGTTGCAACACAGACAGGAGACGCTGGTGTAATGTTCACACATGTCTGACAAGTGTGTGTTTAGATTGATAAACTGGTTTAAAAAGTAGTGTGTTGGAAAGGAAAGCACACACTGTGTGAACGGTGCCTTAAATGTATTTAATGTTAAATGCTGTAATGAGTGAGAGATACCAGTTTAAAGGTGGCAGTCGAATACAGCCTGTTCAGCCGACTCCACATCCTCTTCTGTGATGACTGAAACACACACACACACACACACACACACACACACACACACACACACACACACACACACACACACACACACACAAATAATGAGTGTTTTAAACAGCTTATCTGTGTGTGTGTGTGTGTGTCTGTGTTTATATGTTTGTGTTTTTGTGTGGGTGTGTTATTATGTTGTGTTTAAGTGTGTTTGTTTTGTGTGATTTTGTGTTTATATGTGTGTGTGTGTGTGTGTGTGTGTGTTTATGTGGGTGTGTGTGTGTGTGTGTGTGTGTGTTTGTGTGTGTTTGTTTTGTGTTATTTTGTGTTTATATGTGTGTGTGATTTTATGTGGGTGTGTTAATGTGTTGTGTTTGTGTGTGTTTGTTTTGTGTGATTTTGTGTTTATATGTGTGTGTGTTTTTATGTGGGTGTGTTATTGT